TTAAACATTTAAATGTACATAAGAAATTTCTGAATCCTGAGGTTGGTTACTTATCTTTGCATTACTACTCAGCCTGTGTATTGCTGCACTGTTGTGGTTTAACCCCAGCTGGCAACTAAGGACCACACAGCTGCCTGCTTACCTTCCCCCAGTGGGATAGGGGAGAGAATCAGAAGAGTAGAAGTGAGAAAACTCGTGGGTTGAGATAAAGACAGTTCAATAGGTAAAGCAAAAGCCGCGCACGCAAGCAAAGCAAAACAAGGAATTCATTCACTACTTCCCATCAGCAGGCAGGTGTTCAGCCATCCCCAGGAAAGTAGGGCTCCATCATGCGTAACAGTTACTTGGGTAGACAAACACCATCACTCCGGACTTCCCCTCCTTCCTTCTTCTTCCCGCAGCTTTATATGCTGAGCATGACATCATATGGTATGGAATATACCTTTGGTCAGTTGGGGTCAGCTGTCCCAGCTGTGTCCCCTCCCAACTTCTTGTCCCAGCGGTGCCCCCTCCCAACTTCTTGTGCACCCCCAGCCTACTCGCAGAAAAGGCCTTGACTTTGTGTAAGCACTGCTCAGCAGTAACGAAAACGTCCCTGTGTTATCAACACTGTTTTCAGCACTAATCCAAAACATAGCCCCATACTAGCTTCTATAGAAAAAAATAATCCCTTTATTTTGTTTTCCACCGTTCTCATGCATGCACATAGCTAAGCTGTGGAAGAACTGGTATTTTTGTTAAGGAGACAAGAATGTTTTTCAACCAAGAGGAACGTTTCATAAATGCAGAGCTTGAACCTTCGTATGGTAACCAGTGGTCAGAGTCCTCTTGTCATTTCATTGATAGTCAATGCTGCAATATCTGAAAAAATGCAATTGTAGTTTGTTTCTTTTTTCTTGGATTTTTTGTGGGGTAATTTTTTTTTTGTTTGCTTGCTTGGCATGGGTTTTTTTTTTTCCTTCCCTAGTTGTAGTCTCTCTTCTTTTCACTGGATGATCACTGTCTCTTTACCTAAATTGTTTACAACTTACTTTCATCCTCTCCTCCTCCCTTAATTCCTCCCTTCCACCCATGCCTGTCCATTCTCTCTAAAGAGATTTTTTTTTTTCCTGTTAGTTTTCCACTCTGCCATTAATCAGGTACTATGGTGAGAAATGCAGAATATATAGAGAGATGAGTTGTAGAGAAGATCCACATGACACAGCGCAAACCTTGTGCCACTGAAAGCAGTCAGTATTTTCCATGTCCATGTTACGGACACATATTTACTTTCTACTTTAAAAAAAAAAGCAAAACCACGAAAACCCAGCAACCCACAACATTTTAAATTTAACGTTTTGATAGGAATTTTCTTTGGAATATTAATTTGCAGTGAAGGAGAATATACATAATTGACCAAAAAAAAGGGAAGAAGATAACATACAGAAGTAGTACTTTAAATGTGTACTTATTACCCATAGCATAAACTTTTTTAATATTACTTTCCTTGCTATCTTGGCTTGACCACTTTATTATTGTGTATTATGATGATAGCTTTTTCATATATTATTCTCAATATACGCTGCCATTTCACTGTTTTCCTTTCACTGAGGTGTTCTTTATATCAATTCCTTTGTGCACTGTAGTTTCTTCCTCCCTGAAACGTCTTTTATGATATCCATTGTTTCTTATAAAGAAGCAAGAGCCTAAATACATATATTCTGAATATGCAAGACTGCATTTGCATATATGTAAATTGGATTTCTACTTCTCTGTTTGAACTGCTACACTACACTCTGATGCATTGTTTAAAAGCCTTCCAATGCAGCAGTTCTTTGATTTCCTTAATTCAGCTAATACAACTAACAGTTTCATTTTTTCAGTCTAGAAATGCTGTACTACTGGTAATAGCTACTGTACAAAGCTGATAATGTAAAATTTTCTAAATATTGAAAAATGTTGATTCTTCTTGACTAATTGTGAGCTGCTACAATGTAGTACTTTTAACACTTGTTATAGTTGGGGAATGGGGGGAAGAAAAAAACACAACAAAACTTGTCTGTCAGTCAAGCCATTAATTGTTGCATGCTGTTCGGATGTTTTGTATGAAAGAACCTATCTCAACTTGAGCTGTCAATTTTTTTCCCCCTAACTGCTTGATATTTTAAATTCCTTAAATGAGTGGGTTTACTAATATTTTCAGTGACATCAAATTTGAGTTCTAGTGTCACTGGATCTCAGTCTCTAGTTCTGGAATTGAATCCCACCTTGTTTGCCAGTTGTATGACAGACACAATTTTGCTCTCAACACAACAGATGTAGTATTTGGACCTAGATAGCCCTATGTGGTTTCTTCGTATTGTGTTTGTTTTATAAACTAATCCCATCCCTTAATCCCATCAGTCTCTCTTTGTCTTTTGTTTACTCTCATCTGTTTACTCACATCATACTTAGAAAAACTTTGTAATGTAAGAGACAGGCTTCTTGAATTGCCATGCTTAGCTCCCAGCTGGTGCATGCAACCACATCCTGTCCTTTCTGTTCTGTATGATCCATCTTTAAAGTTAATGGTGTTGCTTCTCTCTTCTACTCTTAACGGAAAGCTGTTCCAGAAGGTGGCAGCTCTGATGGTGAGAAGCGCTGTTCTGATTTTCTTCTTGCTTGCATTCAAGTCCCCATTTATTGTTGTGTTAGCACTGCCCTGTAGCGTTCTTCCTTTGTAACCTTCTTTGACTGCCTTAGAGAGAGCAACCACATCCCCTCTTGACCTCTTTTTTGTTAGCTAAACAAACTAACCATTTCTACTCTCCTCTTACAAAGAAAGTTTACCCTTCCCCTGACCATCTTATCTCACTGCACTTGCTCCACTCTCAGGTCTGGATTTTGCCAGTTCAGGTTTCTTACCATGTGTCTGTGCAGAAGGTTTCTAATTTAAGTGTCTGGGTTTGGAGGAATTTTTCCCATTGAATATGTGTATAATTTAACTATTGTGGCAGTAATAGCAGGAAAGAACTTGAATTAGTAGTGACAGCCTCTGATTTTTACAGTTTACCCAGGTGATCAGGAAGGTAAGGTGAACAGATTTTTTTTTTTTCTTCTTGTGTTTTTTTTTGTTTCTGTGTCACATACAGGATTTCCAATAATACTGACTAGTGACGTGGCCTTAGTCAGCTTTGATGCAGTTGCAGTAAGGAGAGAAGAGGTCATCCGACGTGACCTTTTTATTGTACACATAATTTATGTGTGAAAGGTGTTCCTTAATTTCTTGAATTACTAACCTTTCAATGAAAACTTAAATTCTAAAAGTGTTAGCTCCAGTGGGTTTGCTGTTGCAGACTCACTGTTGGAAAAGTTAGGTCGTCTTTTTTTTTTTTTTCTTTTTTTAAGAATTGCCTATTCATGGAACTAAGAAACCACTGAAATTCTGTGTATATTGGTATTTGTTTCAGGTAAAAAAATCTCAAGTATCGAGTAGCATTTGAAACTGCTCTGGGTGTTTGACCGCTGTTTTCTCCTGGATTAAAAAAAACCAAACACAACAACCCACAGAGAATATCTATCTGTAGCAGTTTCCTTTACTAGATTTCTAGTAATGTGCTATATTTTTAATAAACAAATGTAATTTAGTGGTGAGAATGAGACTGTGGCAGGTGCAGGAAATGAAGTCGATTCATTCTCAGTTCTGTTTAACCTCAGTGTTGGTATTTTTTTCAGAGAATACAGTTGTGTGTAGATAGGGAAACTTTGGAAAGTTAACTTCAGTAGTTCGTGAAAACTTTGAGCAGGAAAAGGACTTACAACATTCAGTTTCCGTGTCTTGCTTGGAGTCTGTAGCACTGGTGTCCTATATATTGCCATTGGTGTGGTATAAGAAAGAATGAGATAATTACTAAGGAAATGACAGTGATCTTTTGGTTTGTAAGTATTGTATATGTAATTCTCAAAAATGTTGGCTTGTAAAGTAAGTGTAAGCAAATCATGATTTCAGCATCTTCAGTAGATAACACAAATGCTTACAGCAGTTGTCTTTTTCCTGTTTCCCAAACTGTTAACACAGATGCCTGACTATAATAGGTAACTGCATATATATCAAATTCCTTTCCTTTAATTTATTTTGTTTGTCTTCAGAAAATATCATGTTCAATTTTTGTCATTTCATTAGTATAATAGTGGATTGTAATGTGTGATCTTTGTAAATTTTTGTTGTTTTGGAACTGCAGTTGAAATTATTGCGATGATCTTTTTTTTTGTTGTTTTTTTTTAGCAGTGTGGACTTCGTTACAGTTGGGATCTTTATAGTTAGTGAAAACTGAGTAAACAAATTCCTTTTTCAGTAGTTGAAGATAAACTGTGCTGTTTTACAGGAAATAAAGGAGCTAGTTCAGTGGTGGCTAAACCTTTTCTTTTTGTGGAGGGTGTGATACAGTTTCTGGTAATAGTTTGACCAGACAATGTTTAATATTAAAGAGATATTTTCAGATCAATTTTGAAATAGCTACTACTTTTAAAATATACTAAGATTTGGTATTTGTCACTTTGTTTACCTCTTGATTTTTGCATTTGTAAATTACTCCTTTTGTTTTTGCTAGCCTCCTCTTATATGAAAAATATCTCCTGCAAAACTGGGAAGTGAATATAGCAGCTAATTACTTAAACTGGTTATGCATTAAGTGCTATTCACTGCAGTATGAACTAGCAGAAGTTTTGTTACCAATTTTTGAGTTGGTACTGTATAACCTGAGCAAATTTTCTTTTGATTGCCTTATCTTGCATATTTTTGTGGCGAACGGCTCTGCTTCTGAGACCAGAAGCTTTGCCTTTTGATTGCTTAATACCATTTGATATTTAAAATCTACATTGTTCTACCCACTCTTGACGAAATTTACCTAGTATGCAGCTGAGAGTATGGTCTGTGTTTCATTTATGTTACTGAATTTAAAATTCTAAAAAAGTAAACTGAGAATTTTCATTTGGTTTTGTTCTTTTTTTTTTCCTTTTTTTTTCTTTTTTTTTTTTTTTAGTGCTTGGGAGATGGAAAGTAATGATAGCTGGCACCTGAACTAAAATATCTGTGTAGGCACTACTATCCCAGAACTTCAGGATGAATGGGGATATGCCTCATGTTCCCATCACTACTCTTGCAGGGATTGCTAGTCTTACAGACCGTAAGTACTCTTCTTTTTCTTGTCTTTGCTATGCTGTTTTCTACCTCTTTGGTATATAACTGCATTTTCAAAATACTAAAAAGAGTTTTATTTTTAAAGTTCTTAAAGGTAAATCAGGTCAAAATCAGATTTGGCATTAAAAATGTTAATTTTGTCATTGCTTGAATTTTAAAAATCTATTCAAATAAAACATGCTAATTTAAACATGAAATGAAATGAAGTGTAGGTTAAAAAAACCCTTAAGGAAACCTGAAACAAAATACAAGAATTAATTGTTTGTTTGCAGTATCATTCAGTAGCATATCTGGGTACCCACAAATAAAGAAAAACACATAAATGATAAAATACTTCTCTAAAATATATATCTTGAAAAGAGAGAGAGAGAGGATTAGACTGATTTTCAACTAACTAAAGAGAGTTGTGGAATATGTTGAGTATACTTGAAAGCTAGTTCCGTAGTTTTGGACAAGGTACAAAAAAAATGTTATAATTAATAGGTGCAAAGAATGGCTGCTAGAGTGGAACTAAGCAGCTGAACCTATGAGTCTTCTTTCTTAGCTGTTCAGCCCGCAAAAGGAGCAGATGAAGTGTGTATACTGTCTTCAAATACGTCAGAAAGACAAAATGCAAGGAAAGGAAAAGAAGTATTTACAGTAAAAGCTTATACTGGCACAAAACCCAATGGTTATAATGTGATCAAAAATAAATTCCTAGTGAAAACTAAGAGGAGATTTATTATTACTATAACGAGGTCCTAGAACAACCATTGCAATAAGAGCAGTTGGGGCAAAGGTGCATCTTGTTTATGAAGTGTAAGAAAGAGTTTATAGCTCAGTTGTCTGAGGATAATTGGACTCAGTTACCCAGGTGCTTCTTCTGAGCTCTTGTTTTTATTATTATACTGTTGAAATTTGGAGACTTTCCAAGAGATGCTGAAAGTATATACCCAGCAATTGAATTTAATTGCCTGCAGTAAAAAAAGCAGATATATTGGAGGGAAAAAAACACTTCTTCGTGTCCTTCTGATATTCTGAAATACCAAATTGGAAGATGCTGCTTATGTATTGAGATGTGTATATATCTATCATTATGTATGTCTAATAATGGACCATCAGGATGCAAATAATAAGTTTCCAGCCTATGGGCAGTGTTCCAGCATTAAGTATTTGCAGGTAAGGTTCTAAAGAAGGTCAAAATACTTGACTGGTAGAAGGCACTAGCCAGACTCCTGGTGCAAGAGTTTCTTGAAACACTGAACTACTTTTGGTGGAATTAGCCCTTGTATTACGGGCATTTGCTTCTTTATCTGTCATATTTATCTGATGTTTAGAAACTTTGGAGCAGCTGAAAGAGAAAGGTTTGTAACTGCTTCACCTTACTTTTCTCTGTGTGAAAAGAAGCAACTGGAATGGACAAGACTTGTTGCCCTAAAAAGACGGAGGACATGATGACTAGAGGCAGTAGAGTAGGCTAGTTAACTAGCTGAATTTATACTGTTTTAATAAATATGTTTTGCTGATGTTGTGAATTTTGCCAATATTCTGGCATATTCAAGGTAATCTGATGCAAGTAATGAAAGCTAGCTATTTTAATATATTATACACTTCTAATTGAATTGCAATTTATTTCTAAATTCAGTAATGATATACATTATATAAGGGGGGGGAAATACTGGAATTTGCTCCCCCCCGCTTTTATTTTTAAAATAAAGAATTTCAAAATATAAAAGATCCAAAAGAGTATATTTCACTTAAGTTGTTGTTTCTGAAGCTATTTCTAATGCTTCAGTTAAAACCTTTATCTCAGAGCTGTAAACTGCCTGGGAACTTGAAGTTAGATTCAGCTTGTTTTTGTGGCCCTGTGAAAGTAACTTTTCTATATAGCTAGCTTTTTGGCCTCTTCTGGCTTACTCTCCTCTTCTCTGTGTAGCTCTGCCAATCATCTGGTCAAGGCTTCTTATATGGTACACTTCCCTGTTAGGTCTGTAGACCTAAGAATGTACTCTGAAAGTATAGTGTGCTCATTTATAATCTGATTGAAATATTGAAATATTGTGATGAATCTTTTTACAAAGATTCGTGAATAGGTATATTAACTGAGTTGACATTTTAGTGATCATACCAACCAATGATACTAGCCTTTTCTTGAGAAGGTGACTTACATAGAAATAAATACAACAAGAGAATAATAAACTGAGAATTTAATTAGTGGCTTAAATTGGTTGTTGGGTTGTTTGTTTTTTTGGTGGGTTGGTTTTGTTTTTTTTTTAAATCTACCCTGACCATACAAAGTGGGAACACTAATTAAATATGAAGATCAGAGTGGAAAACTTGAAGTATATGCTGAATGCACTTACAGTACTGCACGCAACTACAAGGATTTTGCATTTCCTTCCTTTATCAATGCTTTTGGCTCCAAGAGAAAGCTGCAATAACATAGTAAATAACTTAATATTCTGGAATGTTTAAAAGTATGTTTTTATTCATAATACTTGCGTTAGCACAGTTAAATATTTATAATAATTTAGTAATATAACTTGTGGACTTGTCTGCATTACTTTGTTTAAAACAGAATCGTGTGTGTGTGTGTGTGTGTGTTCATGATTTAAAAAAATCCAGAAATCTTCCCTATATTTTAAATGTAGTTGTAAAGTTTTCTTTCTTAATCACATGAGGGAGTAAGAAGGTGTCCATATTTGTATGCTTGTGTTTCGTGAAATGATTCTGAACTCCTTTTTGTTTTCTGATAACAGTTTTGAACCAGCTGCCTCTTCCATCACCTTTACCTGCTACAACAACAAAAAGCCTGCTTTTCAATGGACGGATAGCTGAAGAGGTGAACTGCCTTCTGGCTTGCAGGGATGAAAATCTCGTTTCACAGCTCGTCCACAGTCTCAATCAGGTGTCAACTGATCACATGTATGTATTTTGAACTTCAACTATATCAGATCACCATCCTTATTCCCTGACATCAAAATTAACTGGATTGAGAAGGTTGTTCGTGAGAATCTGAAAATTAGAACATGCAGGTTTTTTATTAGACTTGCTTGGCAGATGACTGCTATATGAGAGTCAAATGTTTTTGTCAGTCAGTCAGAACGTTAATAATTGTCCGGCAGCCCTTAGGCATAACTGGGGGGGGTATTTTATAGATCATCTGCTTATTCCATTCTTGCTAATTAAGAGTGCAGACCTTGTGGTAATGATTGTGCAATACTCGTTTGTGTTCCACTTTGGTTAATAATGTGCAAAGACAAATTATATACCCAGTATTACACACAAACAAAAATTTTTGAGACACCCATCTAAGATCCATTCTGATTAGGTATTGAACTTAAATATTTTAAGAATTGAACCAGCAAATATGCTAATGTATTCTCTTTTTGTATCCTCCCCCCGGTGTCCTTTGAATTGTCTTATGTTGACAGCCCTGTCTTTTTCCTACATGTTCCAATCAATTGTTTTGATCAAGTGGAAGTAGCTTTTAAAAGTCCTCAAAGCAAACAATAAGTGAAAGCATGGACGCATTTATAGAAAATCCATTACTTTTTTTTTTTATGGTTCAGAGGGAATCCTGTGATATCAAAGATATGCCAATTTCCATTTTTAAAATAAAAGATTCTCAAAGCATTGGGCTGCAAGCTGAATGTTATACTTTCATGCGTATGTTATTTTCACTCCTACAATAATACTTTCTTGATGTTATGCCAAAGTGTTCTTTTACGGAGAAGATCACGGTATAAAAGTGGTCATAAGAAACTTTTTGTAATAGTCTGAAACCGACAGCCATGTGTATATAAGTGCTTAGTAACAGAAAATAATTTTGAAGACTAGTAGGAATTACTCTTCTACCATTCCTTAAAGAAGAGAGGAAAAAAAATAGAGGCAGGGAACAGTGCTTTGCAGACTTGTTTTTTTTCTATATTTTAACAGTAAATTGTCTTCTTTCATTTTGGTTTTGGTTTTTTTGGTTTTTTTTGTTTTTTTTTTTTTTTACTTGACTCATAGTTTCTTATAATTTGAAAATGCATTTGCCTCTTTATTTGCTTACTTCCACAATTCCAGAGAGTTGAAAGATAACCTTGGCAGTGATGATCCAGAGGGAGATATACCAGTCTTGCTGCAGGCTATCCTGGCAAGGAATCCTAATGTTTTCAGGGAGAAAAGCATGCAAAACAGATACGGGGTACAAAGCGGTAAGGATTTTTGATTATTTATTGATTGCATTTTATGTTGTTCTGTAAGTTTAGGGGACTGATACTAACCCCAAATACATATGCAGCACAACTGTGATATTTATGCCTTACCTTGTATTTGATAGTGATACAAACCTATGTACCTTGACATCTTCTAAGAGTGATTGTATTAGACTAAGGATGGAAATAAACTCTACCAGGTATTTTTATAAAAAATGTTTAATTTCACTACAAAGTTTAATCTCTAGGATGAGTGATTGGATTTTATTTTAAAATAATTTTATTTGAATTGCTTTATGGCTAGGTTCATATATTTGTCTTAGCAAATAACTGAAGCTGGAAGAATATGCCTGAAAATCTGTATGATTGTAGTGTACCATTGTAGTGGTAGTTCTTAATAGTTCTGGGGTAAGGAATAAGGTTGAAGGAACCACACTTAGTAGCTCCTCCCTGTCATTCCTCATCTCAGCAATTTGTGATGCCCTAGAGATTTTTCTGTTTTGACAGCTAATTCTCTTCTGGGTGTAGTTGAGATATACTGCTGCATAGCAAAGATGAAGAAGGAGAGAGACCAAGCAAAGGATTAATTGGACAGACTCTAGTTGTAGATCTGGAGAATTGCACCTGAAGTATGTTCTTTAAATACCAAACTATGAAATGAGTAGAAGAATTTCCAGAGTTTCTGCAGTGTGAGGATAAAGCTTTGCTGGCACTGTAGAGATATAAATGGAAGTGTTACTGGAGTCCACAGGGGATAGGAAGTGTTGGGTGGTTTTGGAGGGGAAAAATAATAAAATGAGATTATTAGGTTTGTTCACCTAGGCTAGTGAGTAAAAAGCCGTACAATATTTGAAAAGAACTTGCTAAGGACAGAACATGTAGTGTTCCTTGAAAGAAGGCAGAAATTTCCTGGAATGAAAACGTGAAAGGCAGTGCTAAGTATTTGTAAGTTCATTGATACATATATACCGAAATTTAAGCTCTGCAAACAGTCTCCAGATCCTGTGTTTAGTGGTAGCTGTGGCAGAGTACGATTTTTCCAGCTGTGGGAAGAGTTGTGACTGTCCTGTCAGTTTGCAGAGTGGTCCCACAAAGAACATACGCTGGAATTAAAGTTTTCCACCAGTTTTGTAGAGTAAAATAATTTTTTGCCAGTGCAAAAGGGAGACATCGTTTTTGAAATTACCTGTTCCAGCAGAGGCTTTTGAAAGAAAGAAGACAAAGCTAGTTAATTTCTTTCTAATTTTTGCTAATTTTGTGCTTCACAAGGAGAAGCACTTTCGCAGCTTGATTCAATAGGTTAAGAATAATCCTTAATGAAATAAAAGCACCACTATCTTTAGTAAATGTGCTTTGGCCTATGCTTGAAGGAAGGTATTAGTACAGAATAGAAAATAATTCAATATGAAATGTAAAAGAAGAGTTGATGTTATTTTAGTTAAGTTAACAAAGTGGTTTCAGAGAACCAGAAGAGATGAGACTTTAAAACCCCGCTGAATATTTAATTTTATTTTACATAATTCTGAATACTTGTACTAGTGCAAGCATTGCAATGTAAGCGTGAAATCTGAAAACTGGAAAGAAAGGGAGAAGTGGGGAAAAGCATAGCTGTAGACAAAGTATTTTGAGAGGAAGAAGGCCCTGGAATGAACGTTTGGAAAAGCTAGGTGAAGTGTGACTTTATTTTCAATGGAAAAAAGCCACATTCTTACCTGGAAATAGGTGGATCTTCAAGCTAGATGCTGGCAAATTCTGGTAGCCTTATTAGCTGTTAGTATGCCCCATTCAGATCTCCAAGGCCAAAGGAGTCTATACTGATGTGTTGAGGCAGGAAAGGTTGGGTTTTCTTCTGCTTTCTGAATAGATACTGTAATCTCTGTAGAGTCGTAATTTGTAGAACAATTGAGGGTTTGGTAGAGATCTTATGTAATGCATTTTGCCAGCTAGAAGAATGAAATTTAGGCTCTTTTCTAGTATTTCAAATTCATCTCTTCTGCTTTCCTTACTGTCTTCTGTCTGAATATTGTCCTTCCGCCTTCTGTTGAGTCCAGCATGCAGTGAAGTCAGCGCTGGGTACTGTGACCCAGTATTTGTAATGCCCACAATTGAGAAGGAATGAAGGCAGTGGGACCCCCTGTCTATTTACTCAGCCTGGGATGGGTCTGTGCACCATGATCCCTTGAGTGTCAGTTCCAGCATTAGTATGGACAAAGTGAACTCAAATTCATTTCTCCTAGCCTTCATTTCTGATGCAAGAACAGGAAGATCATCTGGCTAAAGAATTAAATTAAACACGGAATAAAATTCTTGGTTCAGTACAGTTTGTCAGGAAATAAAGACATCTTCAGAAAGCTAAATACTATGTTTTGAATTCTTGTGAATGTAAGGTAAAGCACAAGCAGAATTCTGTGCTGATGTTTTTTCCCAAGTTCATATTGATCTGTAGTTCAACACTAAGTTTAGAGCAAGAATTGCTTTTAGTTATGATGAACAAATAGTGCAAAAAGGATGTATTATGTGGACACTTCTTTCATTTTGTGTCCTGAGCTGGCACCCTCCACCTTCCTCCCCCACCCCATTGCTGGCGTATTTCGTTTCAGGTAAGGTAGCAGCGATGTTCGAACTCTTATTCCCTGTCTTTTGAAACAGTCCCATTGTCAAAACAGTCTTCATACAGCTTAGATTTTTAGATTAGATTTTTCAGACTGTTTTCTATTACAAGGTTGTCTGAACAGACTGAGTCACATTACTATGCGACATCAGGCCTAACTTTGTACAAAGGCAAAATGTTAATTTTATTTTAGACCTTTTTTATCAGATGACAGAAATTTCTGGGTGCCATCTTGCAGCTACATCTGTCTTGCGTCTTACTGTATATGAGTGAAGTGGATTTCTTTATAATTATGTATTTAAAGTTAAGATATTATTTAGTTTCAGTTTTCATAATAATTTTTTCTCTTTTCCCTCTCAACACTTTGGCTTTGTCTTTCAGCAGGTATGTGCTGTAAGATCAGCTAAAATAATATATTGCAATAGTTTAGTATTCATAGCATCGCTTAGGGTTCAGAAAGGATATAAAATTCACTTCAAGCTATTTATCAGAACTTGTGAATTTTGGAGGATTAAAATCTTATGCATCTTTCCATAAACATCAATTACTTTTACAAAATCTTTTCATTTCTCCAAGAATTCAAGTGCACGTGTGCCTGTAAAAGCGAAAAACTTAGCAGACGTACGCTTTCAATAAAAGTATATATTTAACTGAAAAATCACCTGTTGGTGAGCAGTCCTAGCTTAAGCATGCATGATGCTGTAATACAGTTTAATTGTGCAAAACTTTTTCTGTGACCTTGAGCTGTGTTTTTATGCAGTGCATTCTTTGGATTTATGCTAAAATGGATTTATGCGTATCACTTTTTTCCAAGCAAAAAAATTATAGTCAAGACTGGGAGTATGTGTTAAGGAAACTCATTCTAGTAATGATACTACTAGGATGATGTTTTCTCAAACCTGAACATTACCAACATTCAAAATTAAGGTTGCATTTAAAATAAATTCTTTAATATTTGAGGTAGGAAATGCACAGTGGAGCCATAAATCTGCTGCTTAGTGACATGACAACAATGTAAAAAATGTACAAGAAGATATTTTAGTGCTAATGGCCACAGACTAATTTCAACTCCTTTTTAGACTAGATGTTTGGAGCTTATTTTTACTTCTTTCTCATTACATCATGATCAGGCATACTTGTTATCTGTCTGGAAACTTTGGAGACACTCTTTTTTTTTGTTCTTGTTGGTTGGTTGGTTGGTGGTTTTTGGGAGTTTTTTTGTTGTTGTTGTGGGTTTTTTTCTTCTTTTTTCTTTTAAGTTACCTAGACGGTGCCTCCCATGTCCACCCCTTCTAAACACAGATAGGGAAGTGAGAGCTGCCCATGACAGAATAAGTTTTAGGGTTTTTTAAAATGGCATTAAAAATGGATTCATATATATATTTTCTGTCATTCTTTTAAACCAAAAACTACCACATCTGTGGTTCAAAACGTGTTTTAAATTCAGGGAGGGGAAAATAAATAGATATATTTTTAAAGTATTTTAAAAGTGCAGTCTGTGCTTTTAAGCATAAAGTGAAACTTCGTCTGTATATTTCATGCTCATACGGGCACATTCTGTCAGCTTTCTGTGCATGAATGTTAAAGGTTAGTAGTTTGACTAAAATACTGTATCTAGCTGCATCGAGAGTGGCAGTGAGAGGTGAGTGGGCCGTGGGCATGCCGGGCGCTGCCTCCAACACAAAACCCCTGGAGTTTCCTCCTCACTTGCCTTTTTAGGAAGCAACCAGTGTCCATTTAAACAAATTTTGCAGGAGTTGAGGGACTGTTACTTGGGACAATGAAATGTCCTTTGTATTGAGGTATGGAGGTCTCTGATTTTTTTTCAGCACAGCATGGGACTTTCACTCCTGCTCTGGCCTAGTTTTCGTGTGCTAATGCACTTGGAATGCAGCACTTCACACCTACCGGGAGGTAGTAACGGCTGCATACCTGGGGGATTATCACATCTCGTCTCTGTGGGGAGAGGGGAAGAGAAAAGAGGGTGACAGGGAGGATTTCTGAAACTAGTTTTGCTGTGTGAATATTGCAGTAATTGAAAACGGTGGTAGCAATTGAAGGGTTGACAGCTCCCAAACACTCTGGATTGGGACTTCTGTCAGCCTTCTGTCTAACCTTTGGTTTAAAATATTTGTACTACTGATGGGCTTTTTACCCACGGCTGTGGATCATTTGCGGTGGCTTCCCAAGCTGCAGTGTACACGTGAATTCTGACGCTGTTTTAGCTGCAAGACATTCAATTCTGTCCTTAAAATAACTTAAAATTCATTTAAGCTCTTGTGTTTCTGCATCACTTCAACTTCCAGTGTCATGCTGTTGTCAGGGAATTCTTTATACCTGTATCGAAGAGAGGAAAAAAAAGATTCCTTTAAATTCTCCCTGATAATGATGCAAGTTAGAATAAATAGAACAGAATAGAATAGAGTATTTCATTTGGATGGGACCTGCAATGATCATCTAGTCCAACTGCCTGATCACTTCAAGGCTGACCGAAAGTTCAAGAAGATTATCAAGGGCATTGTCCAAACGCCTCTTAAATTAGTTAGTTTCAAGCACATTGGTAGTTGTGGCTTGCCAGCTAGTACAACTCCTGAATTTCGAAAGCATGACTGTGGGGATCTACACGCTGTGGGAGCCTATAGTTGGGATATGGGTTCTGCTTTGCAATTGAAATATTTCAGCACCTTCTTTGATAACATTCCTTATAAGCGTAGATGAGGTGGAATAGAAAGCTGGATAGAAAGGAAGCAGTAAGGCGTGGTGGGAGCAGTGAGAATATCTTGCAGCACTCAGCTTGAAATGATTGTTTGCTGTATTTGCTCTAAAAATGGGAGATGATTTTTCTGTGTTCTTCTGACTTGTGAAGTTTCCAAATCTTTTACTTATTGGCACAATGGGTACTGTACACACCGGCCTGGGGTGTGGAATACATGTCCTGTTACAAAAATGTTTCTATTCACTAGTAGGCTTTGGCTTGGGAAGCTCAAAGGAACAGAGGAAGAAACTACTGTTAGTGTTTATAACTGAGTTAACACCGCTTTAGGGAACACTTTTTTTATGTCATGGTGTAAAATGGACAGCTTACATGGAATCAATAATTTCTAATGTTTTCTAACAGTTGTGGGTAGATGATATTAATGTATGTAAAGTTTATAATCTCTTTGTATATAGTAATTTCTGAAATGAGAGACTTCATTGATTAAAAAGGAAATGTGTGTGAAGTAATGCTGCTGTTTTCTTTTTAATAGGGATGATGATGTCGCAGTTTAATATTTCTCAGAATTCCATGCGTGGTAGTCCTGCATCTTCCAATTATCAACAAACCACTATCTCACATAGCCCTTCCAGGTAATACTTTCTTTTAAATCGGGTGGGAGGGGCAGCGGACTGCAAATTCTTCCTATAGTGACAGTCAATTCTTGTTGCAAGTATGTGAGTGGAAGGTCATCAGTGTCAAGACAAATTTTTTATTTGTCTGACAGCAGGGTGGGTTTCTTCAGCTGGCAAAGAAACATCTTTGTGTCAATGAATTAATCCTTGTATTCTAAGGATTAGTCATGATTCTCCATTCTCTCTCTTCCTTCCATAATTTTGGCAAACTTTCTTGCTTGCTTAAGGAGTCCCCCTGCCTCCTGCCACCCCTCCAGCTGTTTTCTACTGGTGGCAGAGGCTGAGACTGGTGGCAGAAGGATAGAAGAGAAGAGGCTAATTTGTTTCAGCATGTATAACATACCAGTGTGAAAGGAGGATGGGAAAGAAGACTTGTAAAAGCACAGAGTACTGCTGTAACAGTTATACAAAAGGCCACTCAGAGGAGAATAGGCCCAGTAATTTGGCCAGTTTTCTAGCAGCATCCTTGTCAACTTTCTGGTTCTTTAAACTTTTGAGTATTAGCAAGTAGCACATACCTATAATCCAGGCCTTTATTAATATAACAAACTACTCTGGACTAGAGGAAAGAGTTCTGAATGTAGTTTCAACACAGTTACTGGGCTTTATCAGATTTCATCTTCAGTTATTAGATATCATTATTAAAATAAACTTAATTCACATTTCACTTCAGCTTACTGTAATTGTTTTGGCAAATGAAATGCTCTGTATCTGCACAAAAAACAGTACACTTTTTAACTTCTATGTCTAAAAGTGATATTGAAGAAGGTTTTTTGAATTGTGAATATTACAATGAATATTACGAAGTCTTCTCAAAATCCTTGCAAAATCTGTGTGTTAAATGCTTATTATTTGTATTTCTATTGCTATTTCTTTTTATGGAAGCTTACCTTCGTAAAGTTGCTATCTAGAACTGAGTGTTGTGAAAGCGTGTAGTGTAGTGTACCTTCTGAAGTATTTATTTGGTTTATTTTTATTTTGAAAAGCTCATATAAGAATGTAAGTTATAATGTGCATGTGTTTGTCATGAGCCTATGTTATTTTTATGGCTTCCGATCTGTAGGATCAGTCTAAGATAAAGCCAATGAAAGAGTAAGTTGTATTCAGTGGACTTTGGGTCAGGTCCTACCTAACTGCCTATCACTTTCCTATAGCTTGGCAGTATAGTTCTGCTAGATGAAGTTCTTTGAAATCTTACTGGAAAAATTGTATTTGGAGTAGATGGCTCCTTGTTAATCCTAGTGGCCTAGTTGTTAGTTAAAACTTAGCTGTCACTTTCATTTAAACTTCTGGGACTAACTTTTGGAAATTGCAGGTGTTATGTTGGTACATATTTGTGTCATTGTTTCCTTTCCCTAGGTGGAGGTCTTATGAATGCTTTTTGTTCTGTTCTTTACTTTTACTAATGCAATACCTAAGCTGTGACTCTTAAGTAATAATTGAAGTTGGGAAGGTATCAATAGCTTAATAAAATACTGCTTTTGAGGGAGAGTCTTGGTTGTGTTGGAATTTTTTATCTTAAGTTGTAATGTTCTGAATGTATAATATTGCAAAAGAAATAATAAATTTATCTAAATTTGCTTTTCCAACTTTTAAAAACTTTTTTCTATTTTATTTTTAGCCGGTTTGTGCCACCACAGACAAGCTCTGGTAGCAGATTTTTGGCACAACAGAACAGTCCAGTGCCTAGTCCATATGCTCCTCAAAGCCCTGCAGGATACATGCCATATTCACATCCTCCAAGTTATACACCACATCCTCAGATGCAGCAAGGTAAGTCTGTGATTTTTGTTTTATTCTCCAATCTCATGTCAGCTTTACCTTCATGTGCATGTTTCACGGCTTTCTAATTTCTTTGAAGGAGTCACATGCTTAATGCAAAGCTTTGCTTTCCTGACTGTACAGAGTTTATACTTTATTTAAAAAAAAAAAAAAAAAAAAAAAAGGAAGAAGAAAAGGTAAAACACACGTTCCTGTTGCATTGCTCCCCTCTGTACACTGATTTTGTATAGTTTTGCATAGTTGTCATGTATACATGACAACACTAAAAATCAAAACAAACCAAAAACTTGTATTTGTTAGCTATGGCCATCATTTATCTCTACTAGTGAAAACCTCATTTTTGCCAATATAATGTAAGTTTTGCTCCCAGCTTATTTAGTCTTACCAAACACCTTTGTAGCATTGACTAGATTAATTCTAAGTTGGCTAGAATTATGCTCAAGGTATGCGGTAACTGGCAAAGATGACCTTCAGAATGAATGGATTTCTTTGTTCTTCCCTCTTCTAAAAACAATCTTGAACAACATGAACACTGTTAAAGTATCTAGGCATTTTTTTGTTGGTAAGTAGAATTCTTACTGGATTCTTTTAAATAATTTGTTCTTAAAGTTTAGCATTGTGCTTAGAATATATATAGCTGTTCTGTATGTAATGTTGTATGTCTCATGAATACCTTGGAAGTTACCAAAGGTAGTGAATACAAATTATATAGAGGAAAACAAAGTTTTCTGTAACCAGTAAGAATATGATACTGACTATAATTAAGATAGATGTAGAGAGAAACTAGACTAATCTGTACGTGGAATTTAGGTTTTAAATCCTCTTGGAAATTAAAATCTTAGATATCTAATTTTATTCAAGGTATTTATGGCAAAAGGATTCAAGCAAAAATTGGATTCTTGTTCAGATTCCAAACTTCTTGCATCCAACTCATTAATATCCACTATTATGATGTTTTCTCTGAAGTTTTTTAAGAGTTACCGAGTGTGTGAATGTATCAGTATAGTTACTTATATTTTTTGTATTTCAGCTTCAGTATCCAGTCCCATTGTCACAGCTGGGATGAGGAATCTCCATGAAAATAAAGTTTCAAGTCAGTTGTCTGGGAATTCAGCTAATCATCATGCTGATAATTCTAGACATGGCTCAAATGAAGACTACCTACAGATGGTGCACAGACTAAGTAGTGATGTATGTTACTTAAATCAGTTTATGGTAAAGCAGATATTTACTATGATAAAACAAGTATGTGTTCAGCTGCCTTAGAAGTCAGATATTTTACTATGTTATTGTTGATGTATAAAACCACTGAAAATATATTTCAATTTTAGATTGTACACTCAACCATGCTACTTTAATGTGTGAGATTTAATTTTTTCTGAATCTCTCTTTCCTTTGGAACTATTTGTAACATTCATTCTGCTGAAATTAGGAAAAGTGAAAAATCTTCACATAATCTCGTATGTGAGTTTATTTTAAAGAAATGGTAGTGTGCCTCTACAATTACTGTAGCAGTATGTTGATGCAAACTAGATGAAATACTAGATTCTAAATAGGCGTGTAGTTAACTTGTCTTTTTGAAGATCCCCGCAACTGTCAATTAGACTTGACATATTTGAATAACCTATTGGGTAAAATAGTAATGTTGTCAAAGGCAAGAATTCCTATGGACATTTTTTCTTACTGTCTATTATGTGCTTTTATGGCCTGGTTTCTTTGTAAGAAGTTTTCCCTTAGTGACTTCATTTTATGTGGGAGAAATTCCTTCTGAAATCTTGAATCTAAAGGGAAAAAAAACAACTTTCTCTCACATTTTTTTGAACTATTGGATTAATTTTCTTCTTAATGAGCATCTCATTCTGTGGATGAATCTTGTTGGGATTCTTCTTTACAAGTTTGGTACACAATCTCTTAACAGCTCTTAAGGGGAGAGCACTTAAGTTTCGGTTTTATTTTTTTGTCAAAGCATCAAAACCTGGTGGCAAGCAGGCCTCTTCTTTTTTTTTTTTTTTTTTTTTTTTTGGCATGTGTGATTGTGTGTGTGTTTTATTTAGTTTAAGAAAACCATGGGCAACTCTTGTCTTCCTAAGCTAGCTTGTTGAAGCAAAAAAGTGTTGTATTCAACAAGTGTACTATTAACAGCAGGCTCCCTAAATCCCTTGCCAGGATTAATACAGTAGAACTCCAAGAGAGTTACTAGTTTTATTAGTCTTCTTTTTTTTTTAAATGCAAGAATTATGCTCATTAAAAATATTAGCTAAGAAGTAGTATCTGAAACAGAGTGTTGTAATGAAGGAATCTATCATAATAGACAATCACCAGATGTTTTTCTCAATCTCTGCTTCAGCAATGCAAATTCTTCAGACTAGGAAACTGTTCTTGGCATTAAATGTACATATATCCCCCAACTATGTTAAAGGTACACTATCAAGAGAATCTTGGTTTTGTTAAGACAGGATTTTTGGAAAACTTTAATATTAGGATAATATATTCCATAATCTTTAAAGAGGCAGTATTTAAAAATATTCATCCCTAATTTTGTGCTCCAAACAATGCAACCACATCCTAGTTCATGAAAACTTAGAAATGAAGCTCTTTCAGAACGGACAGACTATGAAAACATAAAGCATACCCTCATTGGTTGGTTTAATTGGAGACATACTAAATGTAAAAAGTAGTAAACATTGTAAAATTGCACTTTATCCCTTTGTGCATTTTCTTAATGGAGCATATGTGTTACACTTATTTTATTTATAGTTATTCCTTTGAAAGCTGATTTTAGTAGCTATCATGCAGAAAACAGTTTGAAGAATTTGGATTAATTAAAGTTTTGCATCTATGTATGAATAATAAGCTTAATCATAATGTTGCAGTCTTTTCAGAAGCAGTGTGACCTTTGGCGAAGATAGTTATGAATGTCAGTTATTAAATCATAAAAATTAAAAACTTTAATTATTTTTTATTCTTTTTCTTAGTTTTAGGATTTTATTGCTATAAAAAATGTGAATAGCTACAGGATATTGTGTATTTGCGATATATGATCTGCAAAATCAGCAAGTACACCTTTGAAGGCTCACTACACGTACACTCAATTTAAGGAAGATTTTTTGGTAAACTTGAGAGCATTCCTAGAATATAAGTTTGTGCTTACATATCACCATTTGGTGAAGCTCTGAACTAGGAAACTGTAAATGAGGACTTCCAAAAATTTGTCAGCTCTGGTAGGAATGGCATGCGTACCCGAAAGGTCATCTACCTAGTTGGTCTGTTTAGTTCATTTAATAAAAGTCACCTTTGCCTACGTCCTTGACAATCAAGGGTAGAGGACCTCTCCTGTCCTAATAAAAAATATATGCTAAAAAGTTATCAAGCTTTTTTTTCAATATTTTGGGGGGTTTTTTTAAGATTTATTACAAGTCAAAGATAAGTTAGGTTTGAAAAAAATCAGCTCATTAATTTCAATGTGGTAGGTAAATGAGTAACTCAGGAAATTAATTCACTTTGACTTACCATAACAACATGTAAGTTTAAGATACAGGTTTTTTTATTGCGCTGAATCTGAATATTAGATTTCTTTGCCCATGAAGCTTTCCTCACATGAGGCAACAACTCTTTTTGCAAGCACTGTTGTAAAAATAAGTGTAATTAATAGCACAGCATGAGTTTTAGAATCATTGTGCTGTGGGAGGAAAAAAAAAATCTAATAGAATTGTTTTCTGAGTTCTCATGGGTGGTGAAACTTATGAAATGTGGTTTCGTATGGATTTATATTCTTTGACTTGTAAGCACCTTCAGTCCATAAATTTCAAACTCTTTCCTTTACCCTAAGCAGTGGAAACTATGCCTTCACAAGGTGTAATGTGTACACTGTCTAGTCTGTGGCTGTGCATGTGGAAATTGGCTGTTTGGCCATTGTCAGAGGGAGTGTGTACTTGCCCATCTATGCAGGCTTCTATCTCCTTGAAATGCCAATTTAGCTTTCAAACTTACTACCATTTGCTGATTTTTTTCATACAGACATGTAAAAACATAATTACAGTTGAGCCTTCTAATATTCTATTAATTGGGTTGAAATTGGTCAAGAGCATAAAAGGTATTTATCAGACAGATAATTCAGGTTTGAAAAAAAAAGTTATATGAAAGAACTGTGTGTATTCAGATACCTCAATAAGAGCCATGTTAGAATATTAGCTACTGAAATAACCAATTTAATTGGGAAACAGATTAAATAACCTTAGAACTTCTTTGGAGACTTCCTTTGTGTGACTTTACTCTTTAAAAAACCGAACTTTTTGTAATTGTTTATAATTGTAGAAATTGTCTCTTCATAGATATAGGGGTTGTTAGTTTGTTCTTTCCCAAAACATTCCCGTAGATGTTGTATAAAAAACAGTGCTAAAAGTGGGAAATACTGTTCTATGGAAGTTTAAATCTAGTTAGGGCATTCAGTGAATGAGTATACTCGTGACCACCAGAGGGCTCCATGAAAGCAATAAAAAACCCATGTAGACCAGTAAGTGGGAATTTGAATAGAGGGTTTCATATTCAATTTTAAGATAGTGTGGGGGTAAAAAAGACACCCTTGCATTCTTAAAGATAGAGCATGGACATCATTACACTGTTAGTAGTATTATACTACGAAGACGTTTGTCAGAAATTATGAATTCCATTGGAGCAGGTTGTTCTGTGCAAAACTGAGAAGACAGTAAAACTTGTTTGCCACGTTGGGGAAGTGCTCCATATTGCAACTGAGTTATTTTCTGTCTAACTGTCGAGCCAGGCAAATAACAAGCTAAAGCCCCTCCAGTTGTGTTTTACACGAGACTATCTCAGCTGCTGCAATGGGAGTGCTAGAGATTTTCTTCATTCCCAATGTGTGTGTGCTGAAAGATATAAATACAAAATGTTATTTTGTTTAACTGTAAAAGTAAGATGGCATTCTAGATAGGCTTTAAGGGTAGGTTAAATGAAAAAATGGTGAGCTTGTTTTAAAAACCTACATTTTATGCTCAATTTCTTTCAGTTGGTATTGTATAGAGGTCATGTATCTGCTTTTCAGTTCTTTATTATGAGTGTTTGTAACAAAAAAGTTCTAAATTGAATCCTGGCGTAAACCAAAAGTACTTATTTAGCTAGAAGACGGGTACATAGATTTATTTTAGTGTACATGTTCTGGCTATAGACTCTTCTTACGGCTGATTGTGATTTGGAATATTGCCTATATAGTAGTCTAATAGCAGTCTAAATTACAAAGATTTTTATGTAAATAAATATTTTTCTAATATTTCTTGTATGCTTTTTTTGTCCAATCCATTTTATCAGTATCTGTACTAATTTCAGTCTTTATTTTATCAAGTGTTCATGTTCGTAATGTTTGTTTTTTATCATTGTCACTTTAGGATGGTGATCCTTCAATAAGGAATGCTGCATCTTTTTCCTTGAGGTCACCACAATCAGTCTGCTCTCCAGCTGGAAGTGATGGAACCCTTAAAGGTAGTCTAGCAGTCATATATATCAATGTATTTTTTCCCAATTCTAAAGAACAGAGAGTTAAAAGAGGTATATAGTTATTTCTCCTGACTTCTGTATTCAAATAGTACTAGAAAGTATGTCATTATGTTTTGGATACAAAATTATTTTGAGCCCTGATTCAGAAGAAATTTCTGAAGGTCCAAAAATTGACTAGTCATCCGTCAAAACAAAGCTCAAATTCATGGAGGACAGAAGGATATAAAATCCTTTCCAATATGAGGATTAAATTTTTTATAAGAATGGTTTCAGTTGCTCTACATAAGAAATGGTTTAAAGGCAGCATTACAAGTATTGAACTCTTAACCAGCTCAAAAGTGTTTTAACATGCAACGCTTGTCTTAATTGCAATCATGAAGTTTTAAGAACATGAAATTAAAAATGGTTCAGTGAACTCAATACATATAGCATAAATGAAGCCTGAAAACCTTAGCTGTGGAGAAGGAATAGGGTGAACTATGAGTCAGTTGAGAGGTAACAGAAAAAAATCTGCTTAAAATAATTATTTATGCTAGAATTCTGAATGCATACTGCTGTTTTTAATATTATTCCTAAGAAGCAATGACTGAGATACATGAGACTTAGCAAGGTAGGGGTTTGGGCATATTCTTGCTAATTTACTTTTCCAGTTCTTATATATTTACATGGCAATAGTAGAAAGATGCAATAGTGCTTTCTTCTCTTCAGCCCCCGCTAAAAATTAAGTCTTTCTGGATGGTCAGGTTAGGTGGAGAGGGAGGACATGAGATGGGGAGATTCCAGAGAGGGTGAAGTCATTAGCCTTGTGCAGCCTGGGTAAGAGATGTCTTTGGCAGGGGTGGACCTTAGAGCAGCCTTCCTGTACCTATGAGGAGATTATCAGGAAGACTTGAGTCAGGCTTTTCAGTGTTGTGGAGGAAGGTTGAGATACAATGGACTTAAATTGCAATGGGATGTTCTTACTAGGTCTAAGGAGAAACTTTTTCACTCTCAGGACAGTCAAGCGTTGGAAAAGGTTGCCCAGAGAATCTGTGCATTTTCTATCCTTGGAGATTTTCAAGATCAGGCAGGGTAAAGCCCTGCATAATGTGGCCTTGCTCATCCTGCTTTGAGCATGAGGATGTACTAAAGACCTCCTGAGGTCCCTTCTTAACTGAATCATCCTATGATCCTGTGACTGCTAAATGATCTCTGTGGTTCATCTTCTGTAGGCATATACTGTGTTAAACATTGATAGAAGAAATGTCGCTCAAGTGGCAAGTGAGAAGTACATGAATAGCTTGCCAGCAGCATCAGTATTTCAGAAGGTCTTGTGCTAAAGGACTTGTAAGACTTGTGTAAGTGACGAAGACTAAATGCAGTTGTTTTTCTCTTCGTCAAGCTTATCAGTTTAACAACATTGTGAATCTAAGCTACTTCCACTCAGATACATGATTACCACTCAGCCAGAAGAATATTTGAATTATTTTTTGGTTAAAGTTGCTGCTGTTTCAACTGGCTGTCTCAGAATCCCGTTTTGAAGGGATACCTTTTCAGATTATTTCTGAAAACAATCTGATTGTACAGTTCAGATTGTAATGTTTCAGCATTAGAGGGGCTGAAAAAATGCAAGAGGAGGTTTTTGATTTATTTACCTGTATATTAGCTTTACTTCTCCCATTGATAAAGCACAGAACTGAAATAACTGTTACTAATGGTGCTATCATTTTGCCTTCTTAAAGAGATTAATGAACCCTGATTGAGAGAACCAGTTCTTGATGCTGCAGGAATCTTGCCAGACATTTACTTTCTCTAATCTCGTATTTTAGAAATGTATGGAAGAGGTGGGGATAATTACAGTGTTATTTAGAACGTGGGATCCTTGACAGTGAGTTTTTGGCCTATGATTTGAGGTGAAAGTTCTGCTGATAAATTTTCCAGTAATGAACAAACAGCAAGTATCTGTGCTGAACTTTTTGTTGTTGCTCTCATTAGCCCTTGAAAGTTTGGTTGACAGGTCACGAACTTTGATAAAGAAAATAAGCAAAATACTTAATTGTTTGTTTGGGAGGACAAAAAGAATGGCACTAGACATCATCAGTCCAGAGAGAGATCCCGGGAAGGATGTTATAATATCTAAGCTTTCTTATATAACATAGAAACTTGGGGCAATTACCAAAGGTACGGGTGCAGACTGTATTTCTGTACTTTTGGCATAGAAGTAGCAAGGACTTCTGGAGACATGGAGAATGTGAATGCAGAGTCTTGAATTGCTTTTAAGACTGAACATAGCTGTCTGAACGATAGAATCTGAATGAGGAAGAAGTTTTGTTTGCAACTCAGGCAAATATTTGAGAGATGGCAGAAGTTGTATTTGTTATTTTGGTTGGTTATTCACTTACTCAGTGGAGTAAAATTTCTCTGTTACAGAAATCTTTGCTTCACTTCTGCTCCAGTAAAGGTACCAGAGCAGCTGAAGTTTTATCCAGAAGTTCTAGGCTGGTCTTTATCCTTTCTTTTTTATGTAAATTTTATATTTTTAGCTATGCAAACAGAATAATGGCTCTGCTTTCATCCTGTCATCTGTTACCACATCTATTTTCTTAAAAACTTCATTTCTATGAATTTGTCTATGAAGAATAGACGAGTATTTTCCTTTTGTTGATCTCATAAAATAGTCTGTGGGTTCCATTACCCAAGATGAATTACTCATCAAAATCCTTTTTCCATTTGTTCTACTTTCCCACTGCTCTGAAACCTCAAAAAGATTTTTTTTTTTCCTTCCCCCCCCCCCAAACACCTTCTAAAGATCTGTATAAAGAAAAGCCTTTCACAATGTTTTCAGTCCATTGCTTTCTAAAAAGAAGAGTTCATATCATTTATAGGCCTGCTTCCATACAGTTTCCTAAACTCCTGAGAAAACATCTGTAAGGACTAGCAACAACCCTTATGAAACTATGTAATTTTGCATTCTTCTCCAGCAATAAGTTGTATTCCCTCCAGAAATTTTTAATGGGTATTTGATTATTTTCTGAATAATTTGGAAAGATTACTTTTATTTTCTTAGGGATTTATTTTAGGACTTCTCCAGAGGTACTCCTGTACAATTGGTCTCTGAATGTATTGTGGGTGGCAAGAAGAATTAGGAATCTTCTCAAATCTGTAGTTCAGACTTCAGTGCTCTCAAAGGTACTTGTTAAGAAAAATTATCATCTCATGCTCTCTCCTTCAAAAGAAAGGTGGAAGAAATTTATTCAAACATTTTTTTCTGACAGGGCCAAAATAAACGTTCATTCTTGTTTGTTTCTTCAAATCTTAATTTTTTATGCAAGGGTGCTTCTGAATACAGCAGCTCTAAGCAAGAACAGCCAAAACTTAAGTTTTTCATGAGGCATTTGAAGTTCTGGAGAAAGCGGTGGGACTCTTCCCTGAAAGAGTATGTGGAAAGTGAATACAATCTGTCCCTAAAAACTTCCCAAATGTATGTTCTCGTATGCTATCCCTTTAAGTTTGAATTTTAAATTAAGTTATGCTCTTTGAAAACAAATGTCAACATTGACTGTTAATCAAAATAAGTAGTAATTCCTTTGTATCTAGTTCAAAACTTGGGAGGAAGATTCTGTGATTCTTAGAAAATACAGCAGGAAGGGACTTGGGGGCTTCCCATCTTCTTACTCTCATGTTGGATGAACTGTACCAGTATCACTCCGAATAACTTCCATCTATTTTTTTTTTTGTTAAAATGTCAGTAATAGACATTTCCTTATTCTTGTCAGGCAACCTGTTCAAATTCTTAGTGCTAGAAAGCATTTCTTCTAATGCCCAGCCTGAATCATTTTTGTTGCACTTAGGCATGACACTTCTTGACTTCTGTCTGATGGGCAAGGAAGAACAATTCATGTCCCTTTTTTATCGCAGTCATTTACATATCAAAGAACGTTACCATATCTTGCACTAATCTAATCTTCTACAGACTGAACAGCACAGTTTCTTTCTATCATCTTTACATAAGTCATCATTTCTGAGCTTCTAATTGTCTTAGATGTTTTTATCTGAATTCTAATTGGCCTGCATTTGTCTTGATGTTGTACTATCCTAAGTCATAGATACAACTCTGTTTGAAGACTTAGAAGGATGAGTAGTCAGAAAAGTACCATAGGCGACTACTTTGTATGATACTACTGTTGTATATGAGACTATAGCTGCTCTTTGCTGATAACTTAGATTCATATTGCAAGTTGTTTTAAACATATTGCTATCTTTCTGTAGAGCTTCTCTATCTTCCTCTCATGTTGTTACAATTGCTCTCAGATGAATAAAAAGTTTGTGCTTCTTGTCACTGAATTTCTTTATTATTCAAATTAGTCAAGAAAATTGTAATTTTTTATTCTGTTTTTAAAAGCAGTTGAAAGACTCAACACAAAAGCTGTTACAATCTTTAGATTAATAAAATACTCTCTAATTCTGTTACACGAGAAGTTATTAATGACAAATATTTTAAACTACTATTCTTAAGGCAGTGCTCTGGAAAGCTGTACTTGCTCACCTATACTCCCTTTATCCATTTTTAGCAAGAACAACTGATAGTCTACAAACACAGCTTTGCAATAGGGTATACTGCAATCTTACAGTATTTTTGTCTAGATCATTCTTCCTCAGCTTGTTAGTGAAATTGTTATGAGAAGCTATATAGAAAGCCATGCTAAAGTTCAGATATGGCACTCAGTTCTCTTTAATCCACAAGACCTACTGTTTTACAGAATAAAATTGTTTTGATTTGATGATACTTACTCTTAACAAATTCACTTTGGAATACTACCTCTTTATTATTTTATCAATCCTTACAGCGAAATTGTTCTTCTAGTATGTATTTAAATCATACAGACTATGTATAATACTCTGTGTAGTCCTTTACCATCCTTTTGACGGGACTGTTTTTCCCTTTTTGCGTCTGCTGGAAGCACAAATCGTCAAGGTGATTATGACCAATTCTGAGATCAGTTTAGCCAGAGTTCCAGGGTGAATTTGTCTGATCCCATTTTCATGAAAACATTCCACTTATGTGAAAGTAGTAAATAGGATCATATTAAATTAAAAAAATGGACGCTTCCATTTACATATTGTAACTGCAGTCTCTTAAAATCTTTTGGCAGCAGTGTGTTCCTCAGGTTCTGTCATCACCAGGTTCTTAGTTCTTCCAACAGAAAAACATCAGTATGAATGCTATATGGGTGCTCTGGTTCTTTTCTCCTTCTCCAGCTTCTGCCTTTAGGAACTTACTACTTATAATTAGTATATAATTACTCAGATGTGAAGTTTAATAATCCACATGTAGCACATATGCATTCCTTAAAGCCTCTCTTTCCAGAGACTTTTCCAGTAAAAAGTCTGGAATGCTGTGTCGAGGTTTGTTACACAATTTCGTACCCACTTAAATAATGTTCCTGGAGTCTCGAGGATCGCTTTGCTATGGATTTAAAAAGGTATAGCACTTGAATGTTCCTGAAGTTTCTCCCCAGTGTATGAACCAAGTGTTAGACATTAGTCTTCATTTGTTTACTAGCAGTTTTTTCCGGCTTTCATGCATAGGGAACAATACTTCTGGCAAAAGAGGTGTAGGATGGCTGAAAGACTTTCTGTCAACATCTGGGGAGCTTTACCTGCAAGGGAGTTAAAGGAATATGAAGATACTGTTTTGAGTGACCCTTTGGAAGTTGTTGTTGTGCAAGTAGAAAGCTAATAATTCTTTAAAGTTCTGTAAAATAAGTTCCTGGTAACCTTAATAGTTATTTTCTAACCATGTGGATCACAACAAAGAATGTGATCGGTGGTGTGACTTCGGTGCATCAGCTTTGAAAGGCAGGTGGTCTTTTCTCTGAACAGGCTCAGAGATGATCAGAGAAAGTATCATGAATGCTTAAATAAAATGCGAGTATTGTGGTGTGATTAGAAAGTGCAGACAAAAACCATAAGATGGAGATGTCAGTGATGCGTGCAGTCTCCTGGACAGAAGCTCGTTTGCTATGCAAGTTACTGATGCACAATGAGCAAGTGAAGCCATTCCAGGGGTAAACAAACAAGAAGTGGTTTTAAAACTTTACATTTTTATGAAGGCTAAGTTACTGTCAATGCAATGCATTTTATAGTTGCTTGCATTATAAAGGATTTGGTAAGAAATCAGACAAGAGTCACAGAAAAAAGGTGTTTACAAATTGCTACAGCAGTTGATAAAACTTCTTCCATACTTAGTGCCATCTACCACTAGGAATCAGTAGGAAAACTAATTAATATAGAGAACCAGTCCCAGGATTATCATGGGTGGTGAGGATGACTTTTACTGAAAGACTATGGAGGTATTGTTGATGGGTGTATTTGTTCTCTGTAGAGGCCTTATTTCCTATTGATGTTACGGGCTTCTCAGCTACATTTGGTGTTATCTGGTTGAGCACCAGTATTTGCTGTTCAGTAATGATACAATGACCTTCCCAAATCAGTGGAGAATCTCTTTTTATCTCGCAAGTTTTACATATTCCTGCCATATAAAAAGAGATTGCACAAAATTCTTTTACTGATATTGTGGAAGATCAACTACAGAAAGTCAGATTTTTTTTCTCCTGTATTACTGCACAGCCCTAGATTTAGACTTAAAAGCTGCCTCCATATTTCTCTGTTCTAAAAGAATATTCTGAAATTCGGTTCGTTTCCAAAGATCATTTCCGAAGATCATCGTATGATTTACTACATTGACAGCATTTTGTAGAACAAACTTTCTCAATCTTGGAATCTTGACTGGTTCAGCAAACAGATCATACCCGTCTGTCTGTATATTCTTTCCACAAAACATTTCTTCTGTTATCAGCAAGTCTTGTAAGAGCTTTCTTCTCAGACATATAATGGCTCAAGCCTTCTCCCATAGGAAATATTCTAAACTGACTTCAACAGTAATAGGCGCAACTCTCTCTGTATAATGGGTGATGGTTTGTCTGAAGTCTAAGCATCCAACAGAATGTGGTACATGTTCAATGTGTGATACCTGTTCAAATCTGCTAATGTCTGTGGTAGAGTGAAACTGTTCCAGAATGCTTCATCTTTTTCAATTTCTTTGAAATAGGTAGGTATAAGTATTGTAGCTTCTAAGCTTGCTTATTGCCAGAGGCTTAACCGTCATTAGACACCTCAGAAGTATGTAAAGTTATTGCCAGAACATGTACTCTTAAAATGCAGCTTATAGGCCTTACTATCGACGCCTTTCAGGAATTTCCTTCAGGAGGAAGATACTTTCAAATCCCTAACTTTCGTAGTGCTGCCTAGGAGAGGGAAAACTTTACTTTTGTTTCTTCATTTACTGGATTCTAAGTATGTTCAATTGAATGCACTGAAATCCTTCTGACCTCCTCAAATCTACTCAAAGATAAAAAGAACCACCTTATCTGTTGCTGCAGTGTTATTTTTCAGCATGACAAATACCAAATCAGAACAATCTTGTCATATTTACTTAAAAATTTAGGATAAGGGAGAATCAAATCTGTGTCTTCTATTTGAAGTGTAACTGAAAACCAGTAAATGTTCCATTGTTGCAACTTCAGAAGTATTCATTTAAGAGATAATTCAAGAGTAAGATGTCAGCAAGATCTCTTTGAAAAGTTTTGAGCTGCATCTAATATTTGTAGAAATAAAAATGCAGCTTGTATTTCCTGAGTGGTAGTCATTACCATAAAATAAATTAGTAGCTAACAATTTCTGCTATACATTACACTAAGGCAATTTTGTAAATTATCAAAAGAGACAGTAACAGGGTGGGGGGGACACATCACAAGCATAGGAACCTGTGGTGAAAGGCAAGTGAGAGATCTTCATAGTGTGTAGCCAGGACTTCAGTACTGGTGATTGAGTGTGGTATCTAATTTGAGGAGGGAAGTGGAGTAGTGGAAAGATCTTGAGAGTCAGGTTGAGTCAAAACAGGACTTCCCAACATTGTGGATGTTATTGGCAGAATATGGAGTTGTTGCTGATGATCAAGAAGGGGTAAGATAAACCCATTTCATACCCTGCTTTCTACATACAGAAGTTGCAGGACTTCTCAGTACTAGGGAGAGAAAATAAGTATAGCAGTCTGTACAAAGAAGTCATCAGTAAAGGCACACCTTTCATGTAAACTGAAGCTTTGCTAGAGGTATCAATTCTTTTTTTCATCTACAGGTCAGTACATTGCTTAATGATTCTTAATATTTCTTAAAATATCTGGTAGAAATTTAAGCTGCAGAATAAAGCTGCTTTCTTGTTTAGTGGTGTTTCTTGAAAGAAGCACATGGGGACCTGTATTCCAGTTAGGTTTTGATTGTTGTTAGAAGTACTGACCTATGATGACCTGAACTAGAATGACTAATAATAATCTCAGTCACTGCTTTCTGAAGATTAGTATTCCCCAATGGATGAATGGAATCTGATAAATATTTGCTTTAACAAGAGGAGGCTGGCCCTATTGGTCCAGCCAATAGGCTTTTCTTTTCTTCCCTGCCCTGCCCCCCCATGCTCCCCCCACCCCCAGTATTCCTTTTTCAGCCAAAAATTATAGCTCAAAACTATAATTGGGACAGGTTGAAAAGCTTCTCTGTTTTTCAAAGCTTTTTTCTGGGCTAACAGTTATGGGGAGCTGATTTAATTTAAAGAACAAAAAATTTAAATGTGATTAATTGGAGAATGCTTTTAATTAAAAATGTCCTCTTTTAAAAATTTCTCTAGATACACTCAAATCCTGGAATGAGTCCATGTGGAAGTAAAAATTCATACATTTAAAAAAGAAAAGGGGTTGATAAGGCAGGGAATGGTAGAAAAATGCTTTAAGACAATTAGAGTTTTCTAGACAGTAATGAGTGGGGGAGGTTGGAATGAATTTACATAAAATAAAATTTAAAAAAAGAAAAAAAAAAAGAAAAAAGTTGAAAATGAACTGTCGGGATCAAAGTTAAGGAGGTTGTGTATGTTTCAATTTTTTTTTTTTTTTTTTTTACATTAAAAATGTGTGGCTGAAACAGCTAATGCCAATACACTGATCATTAAGACCTTATTAAGAATCTTTTTGATCTTTCCTTTTTCTGTAGTCAACTTGCTTTCATTGACCATTTTCTAATAGTTGATATTCTGAGCCTGCCAGTACTATTTTTATTTATTCTTTTTTGGTGGTGGTTTTTTTTTTTTTTGCCATCTTCTCTGAAATGATCCCTTCTCTACCTGCAGCGGACTGAAATTCCTAGGAAATACACGGCAACTATCTGGATTACATCTTGATCTAGGAATGATGTACTTCCTACCAATCTTATTTAGACCTTTTGTGAACACAGATGTATGTAGAAATACACATGAAAATTATTTAGGTTATATTTAGTGTGTTTTTATATAAACATGAAACAACATAACTGTTCAGTTTTTCTGAATTATTATTCTAGGATCAAGACAACCTTTAATCCAACAGTCTCAGCCTCCACCTTATTCATCACCTAGAGATGTTCCCCCAGACATATTGTTAGATTCTCCAGAAAGAAAGCAAAAGAAACAAAAGAAAATGAAGTTAGGCAAGGATGAAAAAGACCAGACTGAAAAAGCTGCAATGTATGATATCATTAGTTCTCCTTCCAAGGACTCCACTAAGCTTACATTAAGACTCTCTCGTGTAAGATCTTCGGATATGGACCAGCAGGATGATATGCTTTCTGGTTTGGAAAACAGCAGTGTGTCAGAGGGTGATATTCCTTTTAATGTGCAGTACCCAGGACAGACTTCTAAAACACCCGTTACTCCACAGGATGTTAACCGCCCACTAAACGCTGCTCAGTGTTTGCCGCAGCATGAACAGACAGCTTTCCTTCAGGCACAACAAGTGCCTGTTTTACAACAGAACACTTCAGTTGCTGCAAAACAACCTCAAACTCCTGTGGTACAGACACAGCAACAGGTTTCGCAACAAGGAACTATAACGTCATATGATGAAGTAGAATTGGATGCATTGGCTGAAATTGAGCGGATAGAACGTGAATCAGCTATTGAAAGGGAGCGATTTTCAAAAGAAGTGCAAGATAAAGGTAAAAGGATTGTGCGTGTGTATACACTATATATAATATAAATATATATATATGTGCATATAAAACCCATATATATATATATAAAAACTTCCTGTTATTGTCACATAGTTCAATTCTGTTTACTCAGTGTAGGTTCTTCTATGACATTCATCTCCATTCCCCTCCAACAATGAACTGTAATCTCTCATATATGCATATTTTTGATATCTGGTATTCTTTATTTGGGGTCTTAATGGATAGAAAGTGAAGTTCTTATGTTTCAAAATTCTTTTTAAGCTACTCTTATTTTGAACCATGAGACTGAATGAAGAACAATTGACGTGGTGTATAATTTCTAAAATTCCAGCAGTACCATAAGTCAAAATTTGTAGTAAGTTTTGGTAGTTGAATTATTAATTAACTCTCCATGTTGCCTAATTTAAGAAAATACAGGAAAACTCTTTTATCCCATTTCTATTCATATCCCCGTTTGAACCTAATATGAAGGAGGTGTTAGATTAAAATCACATCTATTCTTTTAAAGGCAGTATATATTGGGTAATATATACTACTATGTTGTCTCCAACGTTTGTTCAACTGGATATTCATTATTACGTAGGCATTACAAGCTTTAGAGAACTACCATATATCTATATGGTCTCTAGCACAGAACCAGATGAGCCTCTGAAATGTTTTGTTTTTACTTCAGTAGCTGTACTGGTTGTCTTAACTGATTTCATTGAATATATCCTCTCTGGATTTTTTTGTTTTGTTTTGTTTTTTCTGTTGTTAACTGGTTTGAAGGTCTTGGGCTTCAGAAATCTTAAAAGTAGATGCAAAGCCCACATGTAAATCTTGAAGATAAGATGTATTTTATAGATTCGATAGTGGTAGGTTAACATAAGTATTTTTCAAAAGCTTCCTCTGCACTTCGTTTAACTTATGAGAAAAAATCTTTTATAGTATAATGCTAATTTATTAGATACTCCCAAGAAAAATCTTGCAGAGTGAAAATCAGTGAAAATTCTGATTTTGGAAGTTCATAGGTGAAAATGGTTAATTTTGGACATACTTGCATGGACACAACTGAATTTACGTACAGTTTGGGTCTTTAACCAGCAGAGAGAGCACAAATTTTCTCCCTGTTCAAAGATTTTTTTTCTGTTTTTAAAGAAGCCGAGGGGGGGTGGGGGAGAGGAGAGAGAGAGAGAGAGAGTTTATGTGTGTGTGTGTGTTTCCAAATGTGGTTGTTGCAATTACTAAAATGTTTAACTTCTTAGATATTTCTTATTTGGTAACTAAATCAAGTCTTTTTATGAAACATTGTTTGTGAATATATGGAGAAAATGTGTGCTCACCTCAAAAGAGATCTCTACCGTCTTTAATTTTAATTTAGTGAAATGAGGAATTTGTTACTTTGCTTAAATCTCTTCTACTAATTTTACAGTTATTGATGGAGAGCTTGTGGTTTGTCTCCTAATACTTCAAAAGCTACTTTTATATCCACACACTTCAAGTAGAAACTCCAGCGCGTTTTAGCTGAGAAGCATCTGGAAAAATGCACTGTATTTCTGATGGTGCACAGCAGCCTTCAAACACTTAAAGCAAGACTAAAGCACACTTTTTCTTTTGTTCTGGCTTTCAGGAAATGTTGAGCATTAGCTGTGAAGTTTTTTTTACCATAATTACATAGCCACAGGCAGAGTCTGATTTCTTTCTTTTGGGGAAAGGAGTGATTTTTATAGAATGTGATTTCACCCCTTCACCACTGCTCAATAACCATATTTCCAAATAAGGATTCCAACCTTATGCTTCCCTTCTACCTGCATCCTATGGCAGGTCTCAGTTCTTCCTGAGTTCCTGCAATTGCTATGAATTAGGTGCAAAAGTTGCTGCCTTATATTGGGACAAATGATCACCATTTTTTCACTGGTGGTAAGTTGTTCCTATGCTAGGCAGCAGCTCTTTTCACTTTGGCTGCTGAGGTTTCAGCCATGAATGAATAGTATTGAGTAGAAGGATTTTTAGCAGTCTTGGGACAGACTTCCTGAAAAGCTCTTACCTTGGAGAAATACGGTTCTTATTTTTTGGTAATGCTTTTGCCATTGCTTGTAAGTTTGTACTGTGTCTAAAAGTTGATACACTCTGGGATTGTTCTAGTTATAGCTGTTTGGTTTGGTGTGACTGCAGGAGGAAGCTTCCTCTGTTGTTCCTATGGGAATATGTCTGTTAGAAAAATACCCAATAACTCCTAAATATGTCATTCATTTTTGTGAAGCTGCTTACTGTATTTATGCAAAAGCCTGGCGTTTGTGCATTTTAGTACATATACTGTATCTTTAGATCACATTATGTCAAGAAAATAGTGTGATTGTAGCAAGTTCTAGGTCTAATTAGAACAGCAATGCATAGTGCTAGCTGATGCTTTACAATAGCAAGCGTCCCTCCAGAGACCTTACTCAAGATGCTAGCACATGCTAAAATCTGCATGAAAGCATCTTTGCTGCTTTTTTAATCAAGGCATGGGAATACATATTACAGTTGCACTACACTTTCTGTGTAGGCACATGTTGTCTTCCATAAATTATTTTGAGTAGCATTGTACTCGCAAGTTTTGGTAGAAGATTAGTGGTCCCTTCTGTCCTTTTTTTTATTCCCTATAATACTATGCCTCATCAAAGGTTTTCAGATGCTTTCTTTTGAACAGTAAGGCTTTGGTTGCATATGACATGTTCTTCCTGAGGCTTGGAACCAGTAGTGTCGTGGAACTGTTTATTCCAGAGGAGATGCAGAGATTTTTTTGGGGGGTGTTCTTGCTAAAAATTATACAACTGCTACACTTGTCTAAGACAATGCTAAGGTCTTTTTTATTTAATGCTGAGGTCCTTTTATAATGTTTGGTACAGGTGGGAAATGGGCATTGGAGCCCTTTGGTAATTATTAGCACTTTCTGTAATAAATCGTTAATTCTAACAAAACTGTTAAAATATTTGTCTTCCACCAAAGTCTCTCAAAGTGGGAGGCAGTCTCTGTTTCAGAGGTGGAACTAACACAGGGTGTTACAGAAGTGCCTTCTTCTTTGAAAAGCCGCATATCTTTCTGGAGCCTGATTGTCATGCTTTTGCTTTCTGAAAAAGGAATTCTTAGTGCAAAAATCACTAATGCAAAATCTGGCATATTTGACCTAGTGCATGTCAGATTTGCATAAGGAGTGGTTTTATAATAAAGACCTTTTGCCTCATATCTGAGTACTTTTCAGAGCTCTGTTTTTATAATTCTATCCTTTTGGTCTGTTTGGATCTTGGATTATATGGTCTTTTCATCATGATAGAGTTTGAAAAACTTGTTTTTTGTCCTTGTCCTCTGTGTGGAAGGACAAGAGTCCATCTACTTTTTCCATCTTCCTGCTTTTTCCATCAAGGAAGTCTCTCTGTATTGATTAATTTTGCAAGTAATTTGTCTGTATCTATTAATGAAAGGAATAGTTGGAGATTTTGGAGATCAAGGCACTTGGCACCAGAAGTTACATTCTAATACATCTATTATTTTTAATAGCCTCAGAACAAACAAATCAATCCATGGTACATGACATACCTCAGGTCTTCAGTTCCTATTGCCCCCTCTCACGATGGACTCTCTATCCTTATCAGATACAAGTTGTCAATCAATAGGAGATCATATCTTTTCTTTTGAAAGGATGTGTAGTATTACAGATAGATCTGGCTATTATTTATCAGGACTCAGATTATCTGAGTTGGAAAAAAAGTGATTTGGAAGGGCTGATACAGAAAGGGATTATCTTTTTCCACAACAATCAACAAGTGGACGATCCTCTACTCAGGTGCATTGTGATATTTTGATAATGTAATTTCTTTAAAAAGGTAATGAAGCTTCACACGCACTTTCTTCTCTTCTAATCACTGTCAGTAGTCACATTTCCTGAACTACTTGGTGCTGTTGAATACTTTTGAAAAAAGTAGACGTCCATATTCTGAACCTATTTTGTTCACTTAACTGGAATTGTGCTTTGTTCACATTCTGAAGTTAACTACTCCAAGACAGTACAGAAAATCCTGTCGAGTTTTAGAAAATTATGTCCCAGGAATTTCTGTTCTTCTCAGGAATCTTTTTTTCCTTGGGTGGGAAGGGGGATGTTGAGGGAGAAATTTCATTTTGGTAACATCAGTTCTTTGCATTAACTCGTGCTTTGCCACTGTTCAGATACAAGTGTGTAATTTTTGTGTATAGTCAAGTAGTTCAAAGCTAGTCATTCACTTTCAGTCTAAACCTTTCCTAGAACATTACATTAAGTTCTTCCTTTTCTTCAAGATTTAGACCTGCTACTGAATTAATTTTCAGGTTCAAGGTTTATACCTCAAGATATTTCATGTTTTTCTAAAAACCCCAAATACTGTGAATCAAAAATATTTAAAATATTAACGTTAAAAGGAGCTCTCAGTCTTCTAGGAATGGGAAAAGGAAAAAAAACCTTGAAAATTTATTGAAAAAACAGAAAGTAACTCATCTTTTTTCAGACACTCTTTTTCAAATTGCTTTAGTTTTTTATTTTATTCAGATTTGCTAAATTTTAATTTGAACTCTTCCATACATAGTATTCTGTGTTCACTGTTAGATTTTAGGCTACTTCAAAGACACTTTTACATAATGCAGCTGTCTTAACAGATTAAGGAGTTCTACTTTTACTTTTAAAAGGCACTGTTCTCTGGAGTTTGTGAGAAGAGTAATGAAATCATTAATCACTAACCATTTCATTGGGAGGCTAATATTTTTTTTGAAACTTAAAAGCATTAGAACCATTTTTTAAATGAGACAAACCTACTCGTATCTGTGTTTTTTTCCCTATATATTTTACCTCTGAGGATCCATTTTACCCACTTCTTTGGAATCTTACTGTGGATTCTTTGAATTGGGAAGAAGTGAAGCTGTAATAACTTTATTTCCAAAAATTTGATCAGTTAGGGGGCATTTGGATGCCTGCTGTGGGCCCTTCTTTTTTTAGT